AGAAACGTGGGGAGGAGCACTAGAAACCCACAATGAGGTTCCGCAAGCAGTGGGACAATTGGCAGAGTGCTAATCTGGAAATACCAGATGAATTGTGTTAAAGCCACAAAGAGGTCAGGTGGAACTGAGACTGACAACTACAAGCAAGTGTGGGGCTTTTAGACCAGCCCCTACATTCAGGACCTCTCCCCCGACTAACCACGGGAGGTAGGTGCCACAAGTATCCTCGGCTGGAGGAGGGACCCCACAAGGAGACAAGGAACTTGCCTGCTATCACAGAGCTAGAAGAGCAGGGGAAGGGGGTGGTCAATAGTTAAAGTCCTAGGTGCTTAACCATTAGGCCAGGCTGTTTTCTCTGGGAGTCTCCAGGACACTGCTGATCTAATCCAGCCTAGGGAAGTTTAGCAAGCAGGTGATGGAACCAAAGCTGGGTCTAAGCCAGCACAGGAGCCAGGCAATATTTAGCAGAAGAGTCTGGTTGACAATGAAACCTTCCAGGAGCACTATTTTCACCATTGGGCAAATGAATTCAAATTCAGGTCCAAGTCGATGGCTACTTTGGCTAAAAGATGAAAGAAATAACAGACAACGTGGAGAAATGGGGGAGAGTGCTGGAATGATTGAGGCCTGGCTCCCCCTGTTCCCGATGCCTCAGACCTCTCCCCTGAGCTTCAGGGGCATCTGCTCACCCCTTGACCTACTTACCTGAAACCCAACTGGACACTGAGACCTTTGATTCCCTGACCTGCTCAGGTCTGCTACACCCAATCCCCTATCTCCCCACCCACTGACAGGCTGCTCTGTCCTGAACCTCGCAGTGTACTCCTCAGAAGAGCCATGGCCTTGCTCTTGCCTTTGTTGACTGCTGTCTGGTTATTTTCTACAGGAAGAGGGAAAGGGAAAATAAGACAGCCAATACATAAGATATTTGAAATTGCACTGTGGTTTTCAACCAGGGGTGATTTTGCCTCCCCTCCCCAGACCACACTTAGCAATCCCTGGAGACATTTTTGATTGTCACAGCTTTGGGGGTGCTATACTACGGCATCCAGTGGGGAGACCCTACAATGCACAGCTCCCTCTCTACCACTCCTCAGTGAATTATTCAGCCCAAAATGCCAGTAGTGCTAAATGCAGACACCCTGAGATTTATGAGAAATGGTGGCAGAGAACAAGACTCTGATTTGGTGAGAAGGTGGCCAGGGAAGGCATCTTGGAGGAGGTGACATTTGACCTAAGATGGGAAAGAGGAGGTGGCGAGATGTGGAGGCTGAGGAACAGCCCAGGGAAGGAAACGGAGTCATTCAGAATGTATTTTGGAGTAGAAGCAACAGGCCAAGCTGACGAATGTAGGAGTGAGATGAAGGGAGCATGAAGGATGTTTCAGTGGGGACACACAACCATTTTGGATAGAGTGAGTCTGAAATGCCTCCCGGACATCCAGGGAGAGAGCCCAGCAAAGGTGGTAGGGCATAGACTTTAGGAATGGGGGCTCCAAGGCCAGGTGGCTGAGTTTGGCGTCCCTGCCACTTACCAGCTGTGTGACTTTAAGAAAGTCACCTAACCTGCTGTGGTTCAGTTTCCCCACCTGTTAGAGAAGAAAGATGATAGTGACTACTTCTCTCTTAAGGTTGTTAAAACATATAAAGCGCTTGGAATGGTGCCTGGCACCACTGACCGGTGAGGCTGGAGACAGGGAATCAGCTGCCACTGGGGCATAGAAAGCCCAGGCACCGGATGAGAGCCTTTCAGCGGAAAGTGTACGTTCAAATTTCTAGAAAGCCAGGGGGCTGATACACATTAGCAGACAGGGTGAAACTGGTGGCCCAGAGGAGAGCTGGTGCTTCTTGCCCAGGAGCTGCCCAAATCCACCCCAGAGTCGCCACAGGAAAGTGGGCCAGGTGGAACCAGCCTTAAGTCAGGGGCAGTGCTCCCCCGGCCAACCCTGGCATGGGCCTGCACACAGGGCCTCCAGGACCCCCTCATGTGTGCCTCGCTTTTCCTGTCATCAAAGCCAGTGATTCTCTGTGAACTCCCCTACTTCCCTCCACCTCTGCCATAGAGCCACCCCTGCCCGGGTCCCCACCAGCTCTTGCCTGGAGGACCCCAGGATTCTTCTCCCGGTTTTCCCCAGTAGACTATGAACGTCATGAAGGCAAGGGCCATGCCTGATTTTATCATTGTAGAGTGTGTGCTCAATAAGCATAAAGAAATGGACAAATAGCCTCCCAGGAGCAAATGTAATTCTACGTTTTTGTTTTTGTTTTTTAAGATTTTATTTATTTATCTGACAAAGAGAGAGATCGCACACAAGTAGGGGGAGGGAGAGGGAGAAGCAGGCTCCCCACTGAGCAGGGAGCCTGACAGGGAGCTTGATCCCACAACCCTGAGATCATGACCTGAGCCAAAGGCAGACGTTTAACCAACTGAGCCACCCAGGCGCCCCTAATTCTAAGTTTTTATGGCACCTGCACTATCAGTGTCCCGTACTTGGATAGGAAGAGGCAGGGATAACAGCAGACTGAGAGTGAAGGAGCCACTCCCCACTTGCTTTGGCTTCAGAGGAGGAACAGGGCTGCTGCAGCCCCACCTAGGGAACTACCCCCGGCCCCAAATCTGCAGTCTGGGCCCCTTGGCTGTAGCCTGGGCAGAAGGTGAAGGCTGCTCAGCTAGGGGGCTGTGGTCTGCCCAAGGTTGGGTTTTGCAGAATTTGGAGAAGGTTGAGATTGAAAGAAATGAAGTTTTGCTTTTGCCCCTGTATGTTTTTACTGCCGTTGTAACAAATTACCACAAACTCAGTGGCTTAAAACAAAACTTCTTATCTTGCAGTCTTGGAAGTCAGGTGTCCAAAACGGGTCTCACTGGGCTAAAATCAAGCTGTGTTGGCAGGGCTGCATTCTGTTCTGGAGGCTCTAAGGAAGAATCTGTTTCCTTGGGTGCCTGGGTGGCTCAGTTGGTTAAGCGACTGCCTTCGGCTCAGGTCATGATCCTAGAATCCTAGGACTGAGTCCCGCATCAGACTCTCTGCTTGGCCAGGAGTCTGCTTCTCCCTCTGACCCTCCCCCCTCTCATGCTCTCTCTGTCTCATTCTTTCTCTCTCAAATAAATAAATAAAATCTTAAAAAAAAAAAAATGTTTCCTTGCCTTTTCCAGCTTCTAGAAGGCCACCCACATCCATCTGATGACCCCCTTCCATCTTCAAAGCCAGCAATGGCTCATCCATCTTTTGCATGCCGCATCACTCTGACGCTGGTGGCTCCTGCGTCCCTCTAGCCCTGATAAGGACCTTTGTGATCACAGGTGCCCACCAGATAATCCAGGATAACCTCTCCTTCCCCAAACCCTAACTTAACCATATCTGCAAAGTACTTTTTGCCCTGCAAGGTAATACATTGGGAGGTTGTGAGAATTAGGACCTGGGCCTCTGGGTTGGGGGCACTGTTCTGCTGGCCACGCCCTCTTAATTCAGCCCCTCCGGGGAGGCCCTGGGTTTACTTATGGGGACCTGTAGAAACTGCCCCTGTTTAGTAACATCGGGGACACACTGCTGAGAACCCTGTTCTCTAAAATCATCGATCCCAGACATTTTGCTAATTAAAAGCCTCTCAGTGAGAACGGAAGTTCCCACCCGGTCACTTTGACACAGACACTCGGCCTCTATTTCCAGCCCGGGTGCAGAGCTTGTTAAGGAGGTTTCGGACAGAACATTCCACATTTCCATTAATAGAGTTTCCAAGAAGACGGGACCCCAAGTTCCTTCTCAGCCCCGGCCTGATCTCAAACCCTTTCATACAGCTGTCTTTGCCTTGAGCCTACAAAGGAAGTGCTTCATTTCAGTTTTATCTATGCTGGCCGCACCCCCTCTCTCCCACCGGGGTTTAGGAATCGGGAACGTCCGCAAGGCCTTTCTCGGGGCCGCTTTTCCCCTCTGCGAAGGGCCCACGGTGGTCTAAGCAACGGGCCTCACGTCAAGTCACGGACTAGGGAGCAGGGATCCCAACCCGGTTCTTCAAAGCCTGTGCGTGGGAGCTGCAGCCTCACCAAATAAAGGCCCGGGAGACGGGCGCCGGCACCCGCCACACGGTCATTCACACACTAAAGGAGACGCCGCCCCACACCCCCGGGAAACCGCCTGAAAACCTTCAGGCTCGCAGACTGACGCGGTGGGGCGGGAAGGGAAGGGGGGAAGGCCACGCCCACATCACAATCCGACTTGTATGTGGACCAATCCCAAGAAAGTAAAAACAGTTCAGGGGCGGGCTTATGTAAAGCACACCGAGGGTGAACAGGCAGGCAAAGAAGTAAAGAACAAAATTTAAGGCTTTTTTTTAAAGTCTAGCTATTATTATGAAGTAAGAATAATGGGAAATTGAATTGTAGAGGAACTTCACATTGCAAAGTAATCTAATCATTAGGCCACCAAAATCACCACTACCGTAAAAGCTACCCCAAGGGTAAGGGCTGCCGGCAAGCCAACACTTCAGCATCGCTTCTCGGCCTTTTGGCTAAGATCAAGTGTAGTATCTGTTCTTATCAGTTTAATATCTGATACGTCCTCTATCCGAGGACAATATATTAAATGGATTTTTGGAGTTAGGAGATGGAATAGGAGCTTGCTCCGTCCACTCCACGCATCGACCTGGTATTGCAGTACTTCCAGGAACGGTGCACCACCCCTTCGGGGGAATAATTGTATTCCAAAAAAAGAATTTGGTACTTATTTCTTTTTTTTAATATTTGATCTCTGTATTTTGTGTGAGGTTCAGACGAAAAATTAATGATTTCTTTTTCTGTATTTTATTTTCATTAATACAAAAGTTTTTCCGCTTAGTGTATTAATATTTTTTTGGGTAAATTTTATGGAAGACTCGAGCCTGCGAGAGCTCGATAGGGCTAAGAAATGTAAGATAGAACAATACAGGTTGATTGCAAGATGAGTGTTATTCACTACTTCCCCACCCTTTTAAGTTCGCATTTTCTTGCTATATTTGATGCGTTGTCACGCGTTCTCGCTGAGGGACAGTTATTATGAAGGGGACCTTCTCAATCCGAAGTGGAAGAAGCCGCAGCTTTATCTTCCTTTTTACGCACGGGCATTACTCTACGTTTAGAAAAAGTATAAGATTCATAAATTACCTGATGGCGTTTGGGGCGGGGGGCGGAGCACTTCATTTGCCTTTCCTTACGTCTTCGTTTTACCCCTGGAGACCACTGAGTCGCCTCGTCTAGCCTAAGCCCCAGGTGTGTCCCCGACCTGACGAGAGAAACCGTCCAACAGAGGATGTCTCACAAAATAAAGGATTTAAATGTAGGGTGTTAAAGGTAAGGGGGGGATTTAGGTTTAATTTAACGTGATAGGCTCAATACAAAGTAGGGCTGCGGGGGCGGGGGGCGCAAAGAGGTGAGTATCAGGGGTAGACTGTGAAGTAGACCCAGGGCGCTTGTTTCCTTGGTAATACAACGTTAAATGTGGAATGTGATGCTCAGAACTCTCACCAGCAGCTCTGTACTGATACAATTTCAAACGGTTTCTGGTTCTCTAATTTCAGAGAACAAAAATCTCTGTGAGGAAACAGTCACTCAAAGAAGGGGCTGTTATAACATTGTAAAGAAGCAGTTTGTCCCTGGGAGAAATAGTTTTAATTCTGCAGATTTCTACTCTCAGTTGGAGCTGAGTTTTACCATCACCAAATCTCAATGTGAGGAAAGAAAAACGACGCCCCTACCTCCACTTTGCAGATTTCTGTTTTAAGATTTCAATTTCCCCATCTTTCTTCCTTTTGTGTCTTTTATATACATCGAGGTTGAAACCATGAGCCTCATTAGTGATTTGAATTGTTTCTGAAGTGCGCTCTTCTTTCTTGACTGGTACAGAAAACAAGATGTACATGATGCTTCGGAGCCGGGAGACGGACTAGGTCTGGCTTCAGGCGACGCGGTCCGGTTAGGATGCCTTCCACTCCAAGTGCAAAACTGTCAAGTTACTCTTCAGATCACAAGTTATCTCCAGATTTCGTCTTCGTAAAGCAAAACCAGCTGGCGAAGTTAGGGGATCTTTACTCTTCCAGCTTTTTGTTTGTTTTTGAGTGATCTCTACACCCAACCTGGGGGCTCAAAGTCGAGACCCCGAGATCAAAAGTCGCAAACTCTTCGCACGGAACCAGCCAGGTTCTTTCCTTCCGGCTCCTTAAACTCCAGGAGAGGGCGTCCCTCCCGATGGGGCTCGGCGCGCGCTGGTGACGCCAACACTGCGCCGGAAGTACGCGCCGTGGGCTGCGGCGCTCCGCTATGGCGGCTGCTGGGGCACGCTGGAACCATGTGTGGGTGGGCACCGAGACCGGGATCCTGAAAGGTTGGTGGCTGGGCACGGCGTCGGGAAGTGGGGGGGGGGTATCCCCCGCTCGCGACCGCGGCGCGACTGACACCCGCCTCCCGCAGGGGTGAACCTTCAGCGCAAACAGGCGGCGAACTTCACGGCGGCAGGACAGCCGCGGCGCGAGGAGGCGGTGAGCGCCCTGTGCTGGGGCGCGGGCGGCGAGACTCAGGTGAGCGGCCGCTGTTCGGTCCCGAGCTGGGGGGCCAAGGTGCGGCAGCCTCGCTTTGATCTCCATCCTGCTCTCCTTTGCCCGCAGATCCTGGTGGGTTGCGCCGACAGAACGGTGAGGTACTTCAGCACCGAGGAGGGCCGATTCCAGGGCCAGAAGCACTGCCCTGGTGGGGAGGGCACGTTCCGAGGTCTCGCCCAGGTCGACGGGTAAGACTGAGCACGTCGCTGAACGCTCAGGTCGCGGGGAGAGCGTGGAGGCTCCCTCAGGAAGGCCGAATAATGACGATCAACCCATAGTGACACGGGCCGGGGCTGCGTGACAGGGACCTGTGTCCTGCCTATAATAAGCATTTATTGAACACCTGCTGAGTAACAGGCACTGGGCGAAATGCAAAGGCTGCAGGTAAACCAGACACATGAAGTACCTACCTTCATGGAGTTTGCATCCGCAAGGGTTTTGCATCCTGGCTCCATAGCGTTTTGGATGACCCTGAGCAAGTCATTTAATAGTTTAGAGTGTGTTTGAAAACTGACCCTACAATCACCAGCAATATGGTGAAGTTCCCAAAGTAAAGGATAGGAAAGTGCTAGCGGTTTAGGTAACTGGCCTAGCTTTCCTTCAAAGATAGAGAAGGCTGTGAATAGGCTGTGTAGGTTTGGTGGTGTTCCGACAAGTGAGATCTAGAAGTGTCTGTGGGTGAGACATTTGTACTGGGCCATGCAGGATGGGCAGAATTTTGACAGGAGGAGAAAGGGGTAAGTGCATTCTAAAGATTTTTTTTTTTTTTAATTTATTTGAGAGAGAATGAGAGAGAGAGAGCACATGAGAGGGGGGAGGGTCAGAGGGAGAAGCAGACTCCCTGCTGAGCAGGGAGCCCGATGCGGGACTCGATCCTGGGATCATGACCTGAGCCGAAGGCAGTCGCTTAACCAACTGAGCCACCCAGGCGCCCCAGGGGTAAGTGCATTCTAGAAAGAGGCTACTGCCTGGGCAGAGGCCAAGGATTGGTGTTAGACTACACCATATTTTGGGGAAGATAAACAGCATTTAGGGGTTGAAGCCAAGGATGCATTTTAATACAAGATGGACAAGATAGGTAGGGATTATATGTAAAGGGCTTTCAGAGCCAGGCTGAGAGATTTGCACTTGTGATTGGCAGGTGGTGGGGGGTATTGGGTTTTGAGCAAGGAGGGGTGTGGAGAATGGATTGGAAAGAGCAGTTGGGAGGCTGTCGCCACAGCCCAAGCAAACAACACAGCCTGAACCGAGGTGGAGAAGGTGGACAGATGTGAGAAAGAACATAGGCTCGGGCTCTACACATCCTGGGAGAGACTTGCTTGGGCTTCATGGGAGGGGTGTGTACTTTGAGGGACGGATCGACATTTAGTGTCTGGAACCCTGAACTGGGAACTGGAGAGAAGAAGCTGGTGTTTGACCTTGGCCAGACCCTAAATTTAGACCAGTCCCACTTCAGTCCTTTCATAGCTACTGATCCTGACTCCTGGTGATCTGCTCAAGATTGAGAAAGACCAGCGGGGCCAGGTGCCCCCAGCTGTGGAATAGCAAAGGTACTCTGCTTTGGAGTATCACAGACTTGATTTCCAGCTCTGGTTCTGACGTTTAGTTGTGTGGGCAAATCTTGTCATTTCTCAGAGCTTCAATCCCCTCACTTCCAAAACTGGTAACCCCTGCCCCCCATCGAGGATATTAAATAACAGACCTGAAAGGAGAAAGTCTCGTTAATGTGAATCTGGGGGTGGGTCGACTGGGGCCTGGAGAAGACTTTTACACTTTTTTTTTTTTTTTTAAACCTAACTCTGTCCTCCCTCTGCCTGCAGCACCCTTATCACATGTGTGGAATCTGGGATTATCCAAGTCTGGCACAACGACAAGGAGGCATCCTTTGACCCAGTAAGGCTCCCCTGCCTTGCTGGTGATGGTTGGGGAAGATGGGGGCCAGGGTAGGAACCAAGTGAGGGCTTTGGGGGAAGAGATTTAAAGACTCTGGAACTGCTTCTCGTCTCCCCTCTCATCTCCTGTTCTTTTCAGCTCCTGGAACTGAGTGTGGGTCCTGGGGTGTGTAGGATGCGCCAAGACCCGGCACACCCCCACATGGTTGCCACGGGTGGGAAAGAGAATGCTTTGAAGGTGTGGGACCTACAGGGGTCTGAGGAGCCTGTGTTCAGGGCCAAGAATGTAAGTGACAGGGGTGGGAGGGGCTGGGGCTGAGGTCCAGGGAGGCTGAGGCCACTGACTGAGTCAGAGACCAGATGGGCTTTAGGGGATGTTGCTGACGGGCTGAAGGAAAAGCCTATGAGCCTCCCACAACCTGTCCCCCATATATCCACCCCCCACCAGGTACGGAATGACTGGCTTGACCTGCGGGTTCCCATCTGGGATCAGGACATACAGTTCCTCCCTGGGTCTCAGAAGCTTGTCACCTGCACAGGGTACCACCAGGTGAGGCACCATCTCACCCCTCCTGGGCTGCAGCAGCCTCCTGGAGAAACAGCCTCCCTGCACAGGCTCAGTCCTCATTGTTTGGCACAGCTGCCCTTCTCACCAGGCTCTGTCCCTGAGTTAGAGGAAGCGTTTCCTCCATCCGTCCCAGCCCTGTGGCTGAGCCAGTGACCTTTTAGTGCATCCTTGGATGAGTGTTTTGGACTGTGAGCCTTCCTTTGCTTCTCACCTGGAAGGGAGGAGAGAATAGAGTGCCCCTTTCACAGTAGGAGCACAGCGTACAGGTGTGATGAGAGGACACTGGGTGTCAAGAGAACTGGGTTCTGGTCTTGATGCAGCCTCTGATTTGCTTTGGGACCCAGGCCTGACCCTTTCCTCTCCAGCCTTAGCTCCTCAGCTATTTTATAGGAGGGAGGAAGGGAGCGAGGGTCCAGCTGGGGATCTTTACAGCTGGCCTCACTTGAAGTCCTAAGACCCAGGCAGGATTGGGTCACTATATTTGCCCCATTTCCTTTACTCCTGCATAATGACATCTGATCTTGCTGATATGCCTCTATTCAAAACACACCCTGAGGGCTTCCTCTCTCCTCTGTTGTTCAGGCTAAATTTCTCTGAAATGCAGTACTCTCTGACAGTTGGACTGGCTTGCTTTTTCATCCCAAGGTGGGAGTCTGGAGGGATGGAATGCTCACACATGCGGACCGTTCATGCTCCTAAGCAGATCTCCTCTACCCGCTCCTCCCTAACACTCAGAAAAGAGGGGGTACATTTCAGATGAGAAAGTTTCTCTAAGAGTCGGTCATTAACAAGAAAGCGGTGTGTGAAGGAGGGGGTAAAGATGTGGAGAAGCCGGGGGGGTGGGCTGCCCTTGTGATGCCTCGGTGTTTTCCAGGTCCGTGTCTATGATCCAGCCTCCCCCCAGCGCCGGCCAGTCCTGGAGGCCACCTATGGAGAGTACCCGCTTACAGCCATGACCCTCACTCCTGGGGCCAAGTAAGTGTTGCGAGGACGGGGGGGGGGCGGCTCAGAGAGGACTCCAGGAGGCCCCTGCTGACCGCACCCGCCTCTGGCCCCCTCCGTAGTTCAGTGATCGTGGGGAACACTCACGGGCAGCTGGCAGAGATTGACCTTCGGCAAGGTGAGTGGGCCAGGGAGCCTTGCAGGAGGGCAGGGCATGGGAGGAAAGGCAGGATGCCATCCGACGGGGTGCAGGGGAGTGGTTGAGCCCTCATTCAGGTGCCTGTTGCCTGGGTTCAAATCCTGGTTTCACCAGAAGCTATGGGATCTTGGACAAGTTACTTCAGCTCCTTGTGACTTCTAGCTCCTTACCATGTAAAATGGAGATACCAATGATAACTCCTGTCCCGGTGTTACGTTGAAGAATAAATATCGAAACATAAAGTGATTGAGATAGTAAACAATTGGGGCGCCTGGGTGGCTCATTTGGTTAAGCGTCCAACTCTTGATTTCGGCTCAGGTCATTATCTCAGGGTTGTGAGATCAAGCCCCAGAATGGGCTCCACACTGGACATGGAGCCTATCTAAGATTCTCTCTCTCTCCACCCCTCCTGTACACAAGCACTCACTCTCTCTCTCTTTCTCTCTGTAAAAAAAAAAAAAAAAAAGGAAAGAAACATTTAATGGTTGCTGGCTGGCCAGCTCGTGCTGATGCCTCCCCCCCCCCCCGCCCCCCTTCTCCAGGGCGCCTCCTGGGCTGTCTGAAGGGGCTAGCAGGCAGTGTCCGAGGATTACAGTGCCACCCTTCAAAGCCCCTACTAGCCTCCTGTGGCTTGGACAGAGTCTTGAGGGTACACAGGATCCGGAATCCACGGGGCCTGGAGCATAAGGTGAGAGCTGGCTGCCTCATGTCTCCCCATCCGTGTTTCTGTTTCAGTGTGCTTGGCTCCTTAAGGCCTCTGATCTTTTGCAGGTTTATCTCAAGTCTCAACTGAACTGCCTTCTCTTGTCAGGCAGGGATAACTGGGAGGTAAGCAGTTGGGTCTGGGAATGGTGGGAGCAAGGGCACAGATGTGAGCATTTCCCTGGGGAGAGAAAAAAGCAGCGGCTGGAACACAGACCTGGAACTCTCTGTCAAGTTACTAAACTTCTCCGAGGGGTGTTAATAGTTGTAATCCTGGGGCGCCTGGGTAGCTCAGTCGGTTAAGCGTCTGCCTTCAGCTCGGGTCGTGATCCCAGGGTGCTGGGATTGAGCCCTACATCAGGCTCTCTGCTCAGCGGGGAGCCTGCTTCTCCCTCTCCGCCTGCTGCACCCCTACTTATGTGCGCTCTCTCTCTCTCACTGTCAAATAAATAAATAAAATCTTAAACAAACAAACAAACAATAGTTGTAATCCTGACAGGGTTACTGCCAAGGGTTGATATAGGAGCATGGATGGGAATAGTGTCCGGGAGCAGGAAATAAAAGCGATTATTTCCCAGCCAGATCCTCCTTCCCTCTGCATCTGTTACTGTGCCCCTGATTCCCCCAAGTTTTCTTCCACTCACCAGGATGAGCCCCAAGAGCCCCAAGAGGCCAAAAAGGCGCTCCCAGAAGACACAGAGACAGATGAACTTTGGGCCTCCTTGGAGGCAGCTGCCAAGCGGAAGCTCCCTGATTTGGAGCCGACCCAAGGGGCTCTCCAAACCAGACGGAGAAAAAAGAAGCGGCCTGGGTCCACCAGCCCCTGAAGAGCCTGTGCTCACTTGGTAAATAAACATCTCAGCACCCACCATGACCCTGAGCCTTTTGTGATGGGAGAAAGGAAAAAGGGGTGGCTGCTCCCAGCGCTGGTGCAGTGGGATATCTGACGTCACAAAAGCCAGGCCGGGAGCCTGGCGGGCTGGCGAGGGTGGCACAGAGTTCGGGGCTGCTCTGGGCCATGGGCTGCTGCCAAGACAAGGACTTTCAGACCTCCGATGAGCCGGCCAAGGAGGCCGAGTCAGAGGAAGGCGAAGGTGGGACCCAAGACACACCAACGGGGCCCGGGGAGCGGGAGAAGGGGCTGCCCGGACTGGGACCGCAGGAGGTTGGACCGGGGAGGGTAGAGCAGAGCTCAGTGGCCTCGTCATCCCCGCAGGCTTCGATGAGGACCCGCAGGACGGCCCGAATCGCAGGTCGAATGAAAGCCTTTTGATCACCGTGCTGTGGCGGCGGCTATCCCTGTTCAGCCGTCGGGGGTCAAACAAGAGGCAATCAGCCCAGAATCAAAAGCAGGGGTTACAGGAGAGCAACCAGGAGGGGGTCCTGGAGGAGCCGGAGAAGGGGTGACCTTCAGGTGCCCTGCTCTCAGTCTGCCCCAGCCTCCAGAGAATAAAGTTTCTAACGTGTACCTGCCCGAGTGCAAGCGCCTCCGCTGCCGGTTCTGGGCACACCGACGCGGGCACCGCGGAGGTGCGGGCTCTTTAAGGCTCCTCCCCTGGGGCTGACCCAGCCCCCTGGGCCCCGGCTCTAGCTCCTCGGGGGCGGGGTTACGGGCGGCCGAGCCAATGGGAGGACGGAGTCGCTCTGGCGTTTGGGTGGGAGGGCGTGTCTCTCGGGCCGCTGTGCTCCAAAAGGCGTGGCACCGCCCTCTCGTCACCCGGGGGTGGGGTTATGTGGGGGTGACGTGGCGGCTTCTACTTTGGTCGGATTTCGGCGGCTACAGCGCTTGGGGAGGAGGCGGTGACCATCCGGGAGACTGTGGCAGTGGTGGCGGCGGCAGGCGGCAGAGAGGAGGTAGGACTCGCTCTAGGAGGGGTCTGGCCGCCGTGTCCGCTCCGGGCAGCGGCGTTCCGGGGGCGGCGACGGGGGGGGAAGGGAACCTGGGGCGAGCGGGCAAGTCCTGCCGGCCCGGCTCGGGTGAGGGAATACTTCGCCGTCCAATCAGGAAAGCCCCTGTTGAGAAAGACGTCGGCACTAGCTAATCAGTGATTCCAGTCCTCCAGAAGGCGGTACTTGGGCGGGGGTGGGACTTCCTGTTTCAAATAAACACCCAGAGATTTTTTTCCCCCCCCTCCGCCCACCGAAGTGTGTACCCCTCAGGGGGTCCGTCACCGTTTCTCCCTTAGGAGTCGAAGGGATCCGCGGACACGAGAGGGCCTGGTTAAGGCCTGGGGCAGTTGCACAGGCCGGGCTGGGGCCTCGGGGCCACGGGACCTGCCTCTGGCCCTGCCCCCGCTTCACGGCCCCCGGCCCGCGCTCTGGCCGCCGGAGCCAAGTTGGTAGAGTCTGAGGAGCGGGACGGATCGGGCGGGAGAGCGGAGCCCTGCCCGCCGTGAGCCGGCCCCAGGATCTGCGGGTGGCTTTGGGCGCGAAAGCCCGTGCCAAGTGCAGAAGGGGCCCGAGAATTTACTGAGGGGGGGGGTGGGATTTGCGGGGAAGGAGGCTGCCTGGGGAATGACACTCTCCCCTCCACAACAGTCCGAGGTTATGCGTCTCAATGATCCCGCGGAAACGCTACGGGTCTAAGAACACGGATCAGGGTGTCTACCTGGGTCTCTCAAAGACACAGGTCCTGTCCCCTGCAACTGCTGGCAGTAGCAGCAGCGACATCGCCCCTCTGCCCCCCCCAGTGACCCTGGTCCCTCCCCCTCCCAACACCATGTCCTGCCGGGATCGGACCCAGGAGTTCCTGTCTGCCTGCAAGTCCCTGCAGAGCCGTCAGGTAAGGACCAGGAGTGGGAAAGGCAGGAGTGAGCCTTACTGAAATCTGGGAGAGGCTGTGCTCCAGCACCGTTAATTGACATAATTTGGGGGGTGACCTGATGGAGAACTGATGCAGCTTGGAGGGGGCTGTAGGATCTACTGAGCAACAGGAAAGGAGTGGGTCAGTTATCTAGAGGCAAGGACCTAGACTGTTTTTTGAGAAATTCCACCAGAGGGTAGGGTTGCTACTCTTTGAAGGAATATCTCAGGATGAGAGGTGGCTGCAGTATATTTGGTTTGAATAAGGAACAGGTTCTAGAAAGAGCCTTTAGCTCAGAGACAGGCACTTTGAATTCTAGATCCGGAATAGTCCTACCATAAGTTTGCTCTGTGGCCTCAGGAAAGTTAGTCTAGTTGGGCCTCGGGTTTTTTGGGAGGTGTAGGGGGTTTTTTGTTTTAAAGTAGGCTTCATGTCCAGGGTGGAGCCCAGTGCAGGGCTTGAACTCATGACCCTGAGATCAAGACCTGAACTGCGATCAAGAGTCAGAGGCTTAACCAACTGAGCCACCTAGGTGCCCCTGGGCCTCAGTTTTTACATCTATAAAATGAAAGCAGTTTTTTTGATAAGTAGTTTTTTTCAAAATTACTTTGGAGTGCTTTTTTACAAATTAGATTCCCTTGTTTTAATCCAGACATCCTGAATAGAAGTGGGACCTGAGTGACTGTAATTTTAAATATTTTTACTGCTCAGCTCTTAACAAGTGCTTTTCTGTATGATCTCCAAGAGCTTTCCAGTTATCCTCTTTGATTTCCTGATTGGAGAAATAGAATGGTAATAGTGCCTATCATTTATTTAGTGCTTACAATGTAGGAGGTATCTAACTAAAATACTTTATAGCCCTTGTGTTGTTTAATTTTGGCAACAACTATAGGAGGTGTGTAGATTGTCTCCATTTTATGCAAGAGGAAACAGATTCAGGATGGTTTAAGTCACTTGCCCCAAACCTCCCAGCTAATAAGTGGTGGAGTCAAGATTTAAACCTGGGTCTACCCGTGTTCAAATGTGAGCTCTAAGTGACTACTACTGATAAAAAAAGATCGTCTGGTGGAAGTACTAGGGAGAATTTAGTGGACACCCGAGGAACAGTGAAAGCTGGAAATGGGGAGGGGGACTAAAGTGTCACCTCTTGATGTTGCATTTCAGAATGGAATCCAGACAAACAAGCCGGCTCTGCGTGCTGTCCGGCAGCGTAGTGAATTTACCCTCATGGCCAAGTAAGTTGAGAGAAGTTACGTGGTGGGGTGCTGCAGTGTCTGGGGATCAGTAGGCTTGCCTTGGGTGGCCTTGGCTGTGAGGGAGGGCCGCGTCGGTTTTGCTGGAGCTAATGTGGGAATAGGCCCTGTCCTGCCCTTTCCCGTGGTGCTCTCACTAATGCTCGTTTCCAGGCGCATTGGGAAAGACCTCAGCAACACATTTGCCAAGCTGGAGAAGCTGACAATCTGTGAGTGTTCTTGGGGTCTTTCAGAGATGGGGCAGTGAACCAGAGAGGGCTGAGGAACCGTACTCCCTGAGCCTTGTCTTTGACCTCCCCCATCGTGGCCTCATTTGTCTCTGCAGTGGCAAAGCGCAAGTCCCTCTTCGATGATAAAGCAGTGGAAATCGAAGAGCTAACTTACATCATCAAACAGGTGAGCTGCTAGCTATCAGGAACTAGCATTCCAGTCAGATCACTTTGATGAGTTCCCGTTATCATGGGGCCCAGAGTAAGTTTCTAGAGCCAGCCCCAGACATCTGCTCATCCGTTGAGTCAGTGGACACTGATTGGTTATCAACTGTGTACAGAGCACTGCTGGGCACTTGCCTCGCAAACTTGAGGCAAGATTTCCGCCTTCGGGGCTTATTGTCTACAGGAGGTGTCCAGTCCCACAAACTCGTACTTACAGTGAGGAGAAGGCAAGTGGTCTAGACCTTACGAAAAGATGAATGAGACAGTTTGGGGACACTGATTTTATAGATTTTATAGAGGGAGTGAAATCTGAACTGGTTTCAAGGCTTGCATAGAGGCAGTGGAAGAACATTCCAGATTTTATAGAGGGAGTGAAATCTGAACTGGTTTCAAGACTTGCAGAGAGGCAGTGGAAGAACATTCCAGACAGAGGAAACTGTGCACAGTGGCCCAGCTTTTAAAAGAGAAAGTTGAAGTCTGTTCAGATGTCATTTGCTCAGGGAGGCCTATCCTGAGCATGCTGTTTAGTACTTCAGTGCTCAGACCTGTGATCTTCCTTCCTTGCTCTGTTTTCTTGTTACAGCACTTGATACTTTCTAACATTCTCTGTCATTGACTTACTTACATTTATTGGTTTTGTTCCCTCCCCTCTACCTCATCCCCCAAACCCCCAAGCAAAGAAAAAACGTGTAAGTGCCATAAGAGCAGAGATTATTTTTTTTTCTTTCTGCTTGTTCCCTGATGTATCCCCAATGTCTGTAATAGTGTCTGGTATAGAGGAGGTGCTCGCTGTTTGTTGATCAGATGACTGGTCGGCAGGAGATGAGGCTGGGGGGCGCCTGGGGGGCTCAGTCGTTAAGTGTCTCTCTTCGGCTCGGGTTGTGGTCCTGGGATCGAGCCCCGCATCGGGCTCCCTGCTAAGTGGGAAGCCTGCTTCTCCCTCTCCCACTCCCCCTGCTTGTGTTCCCTCTCTCGCTGTGCTTCTCTCTGTCAAATAAATAAATAAATTCTTTAAAAAAAAAAAAAAAAGGAGATGAGGCTGGGAAGGTAGGTTGGTGCTGGTTGTGAAGATCATTGTGGGCCTGGGTAAGGAGCATGGAATCACTGAATGCCATAGGCTGCAAGGACGATGAGAATCTGGCTTCTAAGTCTGTCTGAAAGACCCCTGTATAGTTGTAGCAGAATCTGTACAGTTGTGATTCCTTCTTCTCTCAGCCCAATGGCATGAGAATAAAACGTGAAGTTGAATGACCGCAGGGGGGAAAAACCAGCCCAGAGCATGGCTGGGCAGAGAGGCTAGGGAGGAAGCTCTGCTGCTGTCGGTTGTGAAGGGGCGGTGACCCTGGCAGAGGCTGGGCCAGCCGTGACATGAGGCGCCGTGCAGGGTGGGGGAGAGAGGACACCATGAACTATTGGGGCGCTGTTGCATAGGCTTTGAAGATCCACTGCCTGGATTCAGACAGACAAGTTCAAATCCCAAGTCCACCGCCTATGGTGTAATGTTGGGTAAGCCACCTAACTACTCTGAGCTTCAGTTCCCTAATGAATAAAAGGGGGCTAATAACAGCACCTGCCTCAGAGGGTGGTTGCGGGGATTCAGGTGTTTGTTTTTGAAGTCACATTATTGAGTGACTTACAGCTACCTGGTTCTGGGGGATTCAGCAGGGAGCAGGACAGATGTGGTACCTGCCCTGGGGAATTTCCTTCCTTCCTTCCTTCCTTCGTTATTTATTTACTTTTTTTTTTTTTTTGAGAGTGTGGGGAGGGGCAGAGAGAGGGAGAGCGAGAATCTCAAGCAGGCTCCATGCTCAGCACAGAGCCCAATGCAGGGCTCAGTCCCAACCCCAAGATCATGACCTGAGCCAAAATCAAGAGTCGGATGCTCAACCGACTGAGCCACCCAGGCGCCCCAGGAATTTCCTTTCTGAATGGGTGAACAGACACTAGACAAGTAGATAGAAAAAACAATTTTAGGATG